TTTTTTATTTTCTGGACACCCCGTACATGAAATGTTAAGTTCCACCATGGCAACTTCAGTTTAAATTCGAGCAAAACTTTTTATCAAGTGTGCCTTTTTTTACGTAAAATATAAAATAAAAAAGTTTTCCCTCTTGTTTACCCTAACCGAGGACATACTGTAGACAACTCACAAGCGTATACTGGCCACTGTTTCCGCCGTACCTAGCGACTACGCAGGTAAATGCAGGTTACAAGATTAAAAAGGCATGGAGGTTGGAAGTCATCTCAAGTAGCAGAAGGATACATACAAAATTCTCTTCAAAATCGAATAAATATAGCAAATCAATTAGTTTCTTCAATTACATGGATCTAATTCGTTAGTAACCGTCTCCTCAACCTCTAGTTCTTCCTGCTACACGACTTTTAAGTCTACCTCTACAAATCAAACTGTTTTGAAAAATATTACAGAAAATATTTTCCGTGCACCAGTTTTCAATTTCAGTAACAAAAGTAAATATTAACACAGTGTATACAAATGTGTCAATAAATAACTTATTCTGTTTAGATTAAATTGAATTGTTTTTGATTCATACTTTTTGGTCGTAGAGAAAATATAGTCTGTTACTCGGTTAGAATGAAAAAATTCAATACTTGTGGTTCCTTACGCTCGCTAACGCTGGGAATCTTCCACTCGTATCGAATTTTTTCATTCTAACCTTGTTACACCTACCTACTTATCTTGTTAATTCATGATGTAGAGTTTGCCATTATTAAAGTTTATTATATACTACGTGGCATATCCATAAAGTAAGAGTACTGAAACTCTGATGCTATGTGGTTTTTGTTTTAGACAATTTTGGTAATACTGCTTTTAAGGCATTGAAGTTGAAGGCGACTTCGTCAAAAAATAGTATTTGATGTACCTTTTTGAATATGTAAATTTTTCATAAATATACTGCTGTTTCGTTTCAAAAAATTGAGTACTCTTGCTTTGTGGATATGCCTCGTACAATTTTAATGATACCCTTTACATAACTGAGGTGATCTGTGATCTTTTTACCCTTCTTGAACATAAAACATAAAATGAAGAGTCTACAAACTTTAGTTTTTATGATACTTAATTTTGGGTGATGATGTAAAACGTTCACAGATTCTCGAAAAGTAATATATTACCATTTATACAGTAAATTAAAAAAGACTTTTCGATTTAATTTTGAATAAATTTAAATTGTACTTAAGTAAATACAGACAGATGACAAACAACCATTTACTTTTGTTTAAACATTACTGGAGTGGAAATAATAAGCAAACAGTATATTCAATTTTCTTTTCAAAGAAAAAATATAATTGGTGTAGCTTTGATTCTAGTATCTGCAAAGAATATCACATATAAATATCAACAGAAAATATTGCTGTGGTTTTTAGAGTAGAAAAGGTAACATTATCTGTATAAAACGTATTATTTGTATAAAATTTTAATTAACTTTTTGTGCTTCAATTGGCATGAAGTTTACCTTTTTAATTCATCCTGCTAAGCTAGATTTTAATACATAACGTTTGGAACAGAGCCAGACTGATGCGGTTATATCATCAGCAGAGAACATGCTAAAGAAATTCTATATTTAGGACTTCGCTGCACCATTCCCATTCTGTCCAAGTTCATTTATTATTGTAATAGTAAATAGTAAAATATTTCAATTTGTAACAGATACAGTCAGCAATTTATACCCAAATAGAGTAGTAAATGAAACCCAAATAAATATTTCTTTTTTAAAAAGGTTTAGATATTGTAGCAGCATTTAACAATATCCCAAACAATTTGCTTTTCAGCATTTCTGGTTTTTAATTATGACGAACATCGTTTCCATTACATAAATGTAAAAACTTTCTGTCGTTACGTGAGAAGAATTTAAGATGTTTTCGGTCAAATCAAGCGAAAGGTTCGGAATCAACTAAATTAAATTTTCAAACTGTGCCCTGTTCCTTTGTAAGTGTTTAGTGTGAGAGATATTTTTTCACGCTTTGTTCCTTTAACAAAATGAATATCTAGTATAGTGTTCTTTCATATAGGTTATATCTTTACTTAATTTTATATTTAATTTATTCACTTAATTTATCTCTCTGGCATGATATCCAATATACATACAGGGATTGCCAGAAGTACGGAATAAAATTCATATCTTTTGAATGAGTTAATTTTTTTAAAACGCCGAAACACGTTAACTGATTTTGATTTTTTCCCATCTTTCGGTTATATAATAATTAATTTTTCTTCAACGCCCTAACCCCCAGCTACCCCTACTTTTTTTTCAAATGGAAACATAAGGCATGAGGGGGCTCGTTGAAAAGCTTATAGAAAACCGAATCCAGCCATACCAAATAAACAAGTTTTATTTTTTCAATAACAAGTTTTTTTTCATTTAGAAATTGAAACAACTAGATAATTTACAAAAATAAACTCAATGTCGCAAATGCTGAAAATGTCCTCCATTCACTATTTGGCATTCTCCAAGACGATAGTAAAAGCTGTCCACAGCATTCTGAATGACTTCAGCTGGTAAATTATGCATCTCCGCCCTAATCTTGTTCTTTAAATTCTCAATATTATCCGGTCTGTCCTGGTAGACTCTTTCTTTCAAATATCCCCAAAGAAAATAATCCAGGGGTGTTAAGTCGGGGGATCTTGGCGGCCATTCAACTGTACCCCGTCTACCAATCCAGCGATTTGGAAACATTTCATCTAAGTATCTTCGAACATCAATACCAAAATGTGGGGGAGCGCCATCTTGTTGGAACCAAATTCTTTCATTCGGTATATCTGGATCAATTTCATGAGGGAAAATCACAGCTAGAGCAGGTATCAGGTCAAATGTTAGGAAATCCAGGTAGCGTGCGGCAGTAAGATTTTCTTCAAAAAAGAATGGGCCCAAGATTCTGTTGTTGATGATACCTGCCCATACATTAACTTTTTGTGGATGCTGCGTATGCGATTCGCATGTCCAGTGTGGATTTTCCTGGGACCAAAAGCGATAGTTGTGCCTGTTAACCACTCCATTTAAATAAAACGTAGCTTCATCCGAAAAAAGTACGTCTCGTTGAAAACCATTATTGTCGTCACACCGTCTCATCATTTCCTCACAAAATTGTAATCGCCTATCATAATCGTCTTCCAAAAGCTCTTGGACAAGACATACCTTATAGGGGTGGTATTTCTCTTGTTTCAGAAACATTCGAATTGCAGTTCGAGAAGCATCGTGATTGCGGGCCAATGAAACAGTTGAAGTATGAGGATTTTCAACAAGTTCTAATGCAATGTCTAATTTCTTTTCTTCATTCAAAGCACGTGCCCGTCCAGTTTTGGGCAAAGTCTGTACTGTACCGTGTTCCTCAAATTTGTGAAATATTTTACTAACTGTCCCTTGCGAGATTTGGTTTTCGGGATATTTCGCATTAAATAAATCGCGCACTTCAGCCTGACTTCTTATTTTGTCTCCACATCCAAGCAATATCAAGATTTCGATGCGTTGCCTTTCCGACAATACCATTGCAATTCAGTAAATAACTTGATTTTGACACAATAGTAACGTTTCGAACTCCAATTTACAACTAAAGCGAAAAATTAACCAGAAAGCCTGGCAAGTAAGTGGTGCCAAAAAAACGCAACATAAAAAATATATCTTTTTTGCGTTAGCAGTGATAGGTACAGTTTCAAATTCTTTATTTTATTCTGTGCAAATTCATGGAGGATAACACTGAAGATAATTAAATTTTATTTCACTTGTTAAGTAGGTGTTTTATACAACCCTAAAAACCTTGCTATTGAAAAAATAAAACTTGTTTATTTGGTATGGCTGGATTCAGTTTTCTATAAGCTTTTCAACGAGCCCCCTCATGCCTTATGTTTCCATTTGAAAAAAAAAGTAGGGATAGCTGGGGGTTAGGGGGTTGAACCAAAAATTAATTATTATATAACCGAAAGATGGGAAAGAATCAAAATCAGTTAACGTGTTTAGGCATTTTAAGAAAAATTAACTCATTCAAAAGATATGAATTTTATTCCGTACTTCTGGCCATCCCTGTATATGTATATTGTTATAATTCCTTAGAACAATTTATCCACTTAAGTTATTACTGTACTATTTGTACATTTAAATGTACATAATAATTAGAATTTTTCTGTTTGAATAATTAAAAATGTCGTTGAGATTTTCGTGCAATATTCTCAGAATTTGTTGCGAAATCATTCATTGAATTTATTATCTTTTATTTACAATAACTTGAAATTTTATGGAGCTTTTTATCATTTATGTTTACAAGTTCTAATTCATATTTGAAAATAATTTATAACAAATATGAATAAAAACATTGCCTGCCCTTTTAACAAATGTAGCCCTTTTCATAGATCTTGTTAGACGTTCAGCCACATAGCATGTGCGGTTTCCTTCCGCGGGAGTAAATGTAGCCTACCAATTTAGATTCATCATAAAGACAGAATTAATGTTTGGGATGATGCTTTGTAAAATTCGGTAGCCCAGTGGTGTTACGACCTCACAAAGATGGTTGCCGGGCAAAAATCGTACTTTACCGTTCTAAAGTCTGGTTTCATTTTTAAGGAGTAAAAGTATCAATAAAATTTTGATCTAGAATAAAGCCAGGATCAATGTTTGGGATGATACCGTGTAAAAATCGGTAGCTTAGTTACGTTATGACTTCACAAATATGGCCGCCTGGCGAAAATTGTAGTATATCATTCTAAGGTCAGGTTTTACTTGTAAGGAGTAAAAGTATCACCCAAATGTCAATCCAACATAAAGCCAGGATCAATGTTTGGGATGATACTTTGTAAAATTCGGTAGTTTAGTGACGTTACGAAGTCACAAATATGGTATTGGCAAAAATTATAATAAAATATAATACTTTAATAATATAATAATGATAGGTATAGTATAATAATCAATTTGTACCTACAATACTAATATCAGACTTGCTATTCCAATTTACCTATATTTAATTTTTCAGATATGGATTCCCGAGCAGACTTTTCAGCATTACCTAAAAAAGTAAAAATAACAGGTACAACCTATGAATGTATCATTCACTGTACCAGCGACAACAGCAGTTTGATGACTCTGTCGTCTACCGAATCATGTAAACTCTCCTGCACTTTTTGTGAGAAGGAACAGAAGTACAAGCCAGGCAGTAGAACACATGAGGAAGTGCAATGTGTGCAATTGAGATCAGCTGAGACTTCATGCTACCGCAAGTGGTACGGTAACGGTGGTACTTTAATGCAGGAAATTCTTTTCCGGTAACTGACTTTGCAATTTCCACCAATCTTTTGTGTTTCCTTATTGTCGCTGCGTTCAAGAGAGTTTTCCATGATTCGGTAGATGATAGAGTCATCAAATTGCTGTTGTCGTGGTATAATGAGTGATACATTCATCGGTTGTACCTGTCATTTTTACTTTTTTAGGCAATGGTGAAAAATCTGTTTCGGAGTCCATAGCTGAAAAGGAATTTGGCCGGCGACCATGTTTGTGACGTCATAACGTCACTAAGCTACCGAATTTTACAAAGTACAGACATTGATCCTGGCTTTATGTTGGATTGACATTCATATGATACTTTTACTCCTTACAAGTAAAACCTGACCTTAGAATGATATACACGATTCTCGCATGGCGTCCATATTTGTGACGTCGTAACGTAACTAAGCTAGCGACAGTATCACTCCAAACATTGATCCTGGCTTTATATTGGATTGACATTTGTATGATACTTACTCCTTACAAGTAAAACCTGACCGTAGAATGATATACCACGATTTTCGCGTGGCGGCCATATTTGTGACAAAGTAACTAAGCTACCGACTTAAACACAATATCATCCCAAACATTGATTCTGACTTTATTGTAAATCAACATTTTTATGATACTTTTACTTCTTACAAATGAAACCAGACTTTAGAATGGTGTAATGAACCGGTATTGATGTTAAGTTTTGTGTAAGAGTTTCGCTATTTATTTATTTAATTATCTTATTTGGCGAGAGCAATTACTATCCGCGAGTCGAGCTGAACCGTCCGTTCGCCCCACTCTGTCGAGAGCCGCGTGCATAATCCCACCCTGCCTAGTCAAGGGGGGATTGAAGGAATAAAACAACCGTTCCTGCACGACGATCCTCAGTTCGCTGCCAGAACTCGAAGAACTCCAACGCCAACCTGAGGACCACCCCGAGGACCTGAACACCGACTAGAGACCGCCACCCGACCCAGACCTGAACACCGACCAGAGACCGCCATCCGACCCAAGGAGTTAGCCGCCAGAAGCAACCGTCCGGGATAAGTAAGCAAATTGTATTTTCCTATTTTCACTTGTCCTGCTATGGTACAAGTCTGGCCGTTTTGAACTTTGGCAAGACAGTACGACCATAGCGTTGTCTGCGAAGGTTTGGCTGGGTGTCTCACCGCCTTCGTTCGACGTACGCTGTCCGTCACGTCAACCGAACTGCTGGTTTGGCTGGGTGTCTCACCCCCAGCGTAAGATGTTGATTGCAGGTTCGTACGGCAGCATCGTTATCGGCGAGGGTTTGGCTGGGTGTCTCACCGCCCCCGTTCGACAAACGCTGTGCGCCCCTTTACTGAAACTGCTGGTTTGGTTGGGTGTCTCACCGCCAGTAGAAGACGTGAAGGTGTCAGACTGTACGGCAACGGCGTAGACCCTAGAAGTTTGGCTGGGTGCCCCACCGCTTTTGGGAGAAATCTGTCGGCCGCCCCTCATTTGAACTCGCACCTCGTCCAGACTTTGCCTCCTGTTTACCACCAACATCATTTTCCTGATTACCGTTTGCTTATTTGTGCCTGATGTAAACCGCTTTGCTTGGCTTTTTCCTCCTGGCTGGTCGCATTTCCGCTTAATTTCCGTCGCTTTGCTAGAAACTACCGCCGATATTTATTGGTAGAATTAGAGTAACCCGTAATCACTTTTCTGTTTCAGAACCATTGGGGACAATTTATTAATTAATTATTTATTGCTCTAATTTATTAATCTTGTTTATTCCCTTTCTAGCACCGACCGAAATGTAAAACCGAATATTATTCTGGCGTACCGTTTCTTAAAGTATTAGACCGTTTATTAATTAAACTAAACGCCAAATACTCCGCTTTTCTACCGTACCGATTGTGAGTCCTGATATTTGACTAATTTGTATTTATTTACAGCTCCGAAAAAAGATTGGGAAACTGGCGCCCGAGACAAAAACCGAACAAAAAGATTCAATCCGGAGTACGTTCCTGTGACGTCACTCACTACCGCCGGCTGCCAACCACCGCTGCCGATAAACTAGTAGTCAAGGGTCGTCATAAAATTAGGCGTCCAAATAGGGACGTCAGTGACGTCAATAAATCTAGTATACCGGGGGCGGCCGCAAGTAACGTCTGAACCGAACAGTCACCACCGCAAAATCAAAACCAAAATAAAGTAAAGTATATAAAGGGTGCTACAAAAATTTGGCGACCGAGTAAAGTACGTTACAATGGTAATCTATGACTTTTGCCCGGTGGCCATCTTTGTGAGGTCGTAACGCCACTGAGCTACCGAATTTTACAAAGTATCATCACAAACATACATGCTGCCTTCATGACGAATCTAAATTGGTAGGTTACATTTACTCCCTACAAAGGAAACCAAACCGTCCTTTTTTGACTACTTGGCTCAACGTCTATGTAGTACACGAGGGATTGTGAAAAAAATATACAGGGTGTTTCAGAAAGACCTCCCGTAAATACAGAGGGTGATAGTACGACAAAAAATAAGATTTTTTTTGTCATATGAACTATATATCTATCTCCTCTTGTTTTCGAGTTACAGAGCGATAAAATAAATTTTTTTTAAATAGAATTTTTACGAAAATTTTCAAAAGGTGCGAAATATTTTTATGAAATTTGGTATTCCGCGGATTTTAAGGCCAAATGTGCTGGTCTAATTATTTTTTGGATATTTCATAGAGGGCGCTAGTTATGCTACATTCCTATTACATTTTAAGTTTAAATTTTTTGAAGGTTAGGTTTTTTGCCATTCAGGCTCCAATTTCTGATGTAAAATTTTATTTTCTAAAAGTAATGTTCTCTTGTTGGAACTTTCGAATGTGGACGGTTTTCGAGAAAAAATACTTTTCATTGAATTCTTACATTATTACGGTTTATAAAATAAATGACTTTTCTCAAAGTAGACTTACATCAAAACTTATTGATGGATGTCTCATAAATAACGCATATATTCTTAGTAATATTTTAAACTCTATTTAACTTTATATCAAAATTTTAGTGATTTTTAGTGACTAATTAGTAATGACTAACATTCATTTGTAATAAATTTAGTTTCCCTTAGAAGCAATTCACTGTTTTATGAATATTACTGATACACTGATCTTCAGACTTATTTTGTAAAACTATAATGTCAATAAGGTACAAAATTTCGTTGTTAGATGTTTATCGACTATTCCAAAATATTATTTATATAGGTGCTCTTATTCTACTGGCTTTTAAATTACCCTATTTAAGTACAACTTTCAGTACCGTGTACATACTCCTTCCTATTCAACGTGAAACATATTTCTTATTCAAGAAAGTTTGATGTCTCGCGTTACATGGACGTCCATGTAGAGGGAAGTTAACCAAGCCGCATCATTTCCCACCAATTCAATTAGATTTTAAAGTAGTTTGAAGTGGAGAGCTCAAAACAAAGTGGAGGCGAGCCTCCTCGATTTCGCACCGCTGCCAGCTTGCAATCTACTCTTGGAAACAACTCTCATTATTTCCAATTTGTAACCAAATTCCCGTTTGATTTCACAATACAAAACACATTGCGATTTCTCAAGGGATAAAATCTACAAAAATACACGCGAAATATATTTGGCTCGACACTGACTGCATACAACATTACACTGTGTTGGTATATCATATTTGAAATCTTAATTTATGTCACAGGGAAGTTCTGTGGCAAAAAAGAAATATAAAATACACAGGATAATTATGTAATCAAATTGAAATAGCAAATAGAAAAGTTTATGTTAAATCAACGTTGGCTTTGTAGCAGCATGATTTGTTCCTAACTTCACAAAAAAGAAAAAAAATACCTAGTGATTTTCCCAACTTCTAGATTATCGTAATTAGTTCATTTAATAGATCAAGATGGCGATTGTATATAAAAACTTCAATCGTGCATCCCAAAAACGTGTTAGTACTGATTCTTAATAAGCCACACTGTATATGCAGATAAGTAACTTAAATTATTTTATGAAAGCTTTTAAATTATTTTATGGAAGCTTTTCATTAAATTAAATTGATGTTCAAATAGGGTCTTGCGTTAAAACCACTTGGAAAATTTTAAATTGAATTCCTTAGAAATTAGCCAAAAAAATATTGCTTTTAGAAGAACCGCATTTTAAATGAGTTTCACGATACAAGCAATAAATTGTAGGGATTGTATATAACAATTGAACAATAAAATGAGAGAAGCACCAGTTTTATTTCATTAAATTTACTCGGCTGTAATATTTTCTCATGCTAAAAAATTAGATCAATTAGTTTAAGGTTTATATTAATGCTTAACCCAATCCATTGTTTCACTATGCTAATATTCAGTAATTTCCCAACTCATCTTTTTGTCTCAGATTAAACTTCTTTAGTAAGAAAGAGTTTAATTAATTTAATTATTTTGTATGTACGAGGTCTGTTCAGCAAATAAATGATAAATGTTTTAATTACGCGCTATTTACTGATGTTTACTGATATGCTATATTTACTGATATGCGGTTGGCAGCATTGCGTTGCGCATAACCATAATTATGATGACTCCCACGTTCAGAAAATCAAAGATCTGTTGCTTACAAATCGCCAATTGCAGGAGAGGTTTATATCTATCTCAATTGCATCATGATATGAAATTATGACAAAAAAAATGAACTTGCATCCAGTTGCAGCAAAATCTGTTCGTCGTTTGATGATCGAACAACAAAAAGAAAATCGTATGGATTTTGTCGGCAATTCCTTGAACAATTCAATGAAGATGAAACATTCATTCATAACTGGAGACGATAGCTGGGTTTACTGCTACTACGGACGTTGAGACACAAGTTCAATCATAGTAATGAATTGGCAAAGGATATCCGCGCCCCAAGAAAGCACGTCAGGTTCGATCCAATGTCAAAGTGATGCACACTTTATTTTTCGACTTTAAGGGATTATGCATTTTGAATTATTGCCTCAAGGTGAATCAGTGAACCGTGAGTACTATCAAGGCGTTTTACCACG